GATTATTTCCAAAAAGAAAAGAAAAACCAAAATCAACTATATCCCCTTTAAGAGCCATCTTCGAGCCACTTTAAAGGAAATGGAGAAAAAAGTGAGTTGTGGCCGTTGAAGAAACAAGTAGTCTGAAAAAATTTAACAATAAATCTGCACTCACCTCAGCCCAACAGAGTCTACGACCAAAACCCAAATGACCAAATAAATAACGAGGCTGCATTTACCTCAATAAAGTGTTTGAACACAGAAAGTTACAACACAAATACACACGTTACTCGAAACCTTTTACCTCATAAATATTTGGGTGCCACATCTTGGTGAGGAAGCGGAAGGTGGGAGGGGAGTATGGGTAGTCAACAGGGAACTTGATGTGAGCCTGGAAGACAAACCAGAGACAGGATTTCACCGACACCATGACGTTTGTTGGAACCACAACTTGATGCAAACGAGGATAGTTTAAGAAAAAAGAAAAATACACTGCAACTCTTCTGGAAAATATTCTCAAACGTGACATTAAACAGAAACCAGACAACTTCATTTAAAAGATCACAAAATCAACCATTCACCCCCCCCCTCCCCCCATAAGACCGATCTTAATGTGTCCAAACTTGGCAACACAAAACGTTTCTCTTTCATGATCCAACTCCTGACCAACACAAATGTACCGGCACGAATCTGCGAGCCATCATCAAGGAGAAACAATGCAGCCCATCATACGTTCAGCCAAACAGTAACAACGTGAAGCAGCTGCGCCGTTTAACTAAATGTTTGTTTATTTTTACTATCACTTTATTTTTAAAGAACTACACATTAGAAGACATTTTCGTAGGTACTTTGTGTTCTTCTCATTTCAGGTTTTGTGCAATAATTTAGCTAAAGAGCTGCAGGCTTGGGTGTGACCATGCCAGGCTCAAATAAAGCAGTCAGAGGAAGACTCAAGATAACTACAGAAAACTGCTATAAACACAGGGTTTTACAAAAGAAAAAAAAAAGAAGAAGAAGAAGGAAAGTATGTAGAAGTTTTATCTACTTTTCTATTATTTTGGGGGGGATTTAAAAGCAAATGAATTAATCTTGAAAATGAAGCATATCTATAAGCCTTTGGCATAAAAAAAACTATTTGTGAGACTTTTCCAATTTTCCCACTGAGGAGTTTTTTTATTCTGTGACCACTGAATTGATTTGGATTTAATATTAAACTAATGGAGGTGAATTTTTTTTTTTTTGTTTGTTTGTTTTGTGACTACTTCGTTCAAATTCATGCGTAAACTAATTGTTTATTTTTTATTCCTATAGCTCTGGTGGATTTTGTACAAGTACGAAAAAACATCTCATTCAATCCAAGTCTTTAAGCAAAATCAGAGGATCATTGGGTAGAGAGAGGCTGGTGAACTCAAGCTATGTCTACAAAAAGTTTTCTAAAAGTTTAACAAAAAACTTTAAAGTATTTTAGTTGTTTTGTTTGAACACTGCTTTCACAAACAAGTAAAATGAAAAGGATTTAGTCGTTTCAATTCATTTCAGAGTGTATATAAAAATAACAAAACCTGATACAAAACCTTTTTTTTAACATTTACAACTTCTTTATTTTTAAAATTAAGAAAACCTGTGATGTTTTTGCATAAGGAAGGTAAATTCTTGTAGTCTGGCTCCAGCAGCTCATGTTGGTTAAAATCCTCAATCATCCACAGCGATTCTGTTTGGTGCAAACAAAATTTACCCCAACTCCTTTTTAAATCTTGACGACATTTTGCTTGTCATCACAAAACAATGACCCAGATGACCCTCGGGAGGGATGGGAGGGAGAGCGATCTGCTTGGGAGTTCTACAACTCAGGAAATAAGAGGCCAGGTGAATGAACCTGGAACGTCACATGTTGCAGTCTGAACTAAGAAAACTCAACTGAGAAGCAAAGAGAATAAAAGGGGCTCGGCTTCATTATAACTTACTAACGCCGTCGTTATGAAGTGTCTCACAAATAAATACAACTTCAATAAGATAAATCAATCAATWAAAACATTTGGCCGTGACCTTTAATCGTACTGGTTTCTTTAGACTGACAAAACTTTTTCACACAAAAAAGTCTAATCTAATAAAAATGGTTGAAAAGGGACTGATGAGCCTCTGATGCAGTTTGAAACAAGTTCTGAGTCACCCTCATCTGGTGAAACTAATTCTGGAGTGGAGGTCTTTATACTCAGCTGTGCTACTCTTAGATTTGAACAATTAATGTGCTGATTGTAGAATCTTGTTTTGTCTAGTCTAGTGAAGTATTATTGTTCTATAAAACCTTGAATGTTATTCCTTACCTCTTTCTCCAGAGGACTATTTATTTGATCATATTTTTATTTGTGAAGCAAGTTTGACCTGTCCGTAACACAGAACGTAATGAGAACAAAAACATTATAAATTCAACCAACAAGATCTAACAATAAACAAAAAAAGAGTTGTTTCATTTTGTCTTTCCATACAACATTCATGTTACCACAAATTCAAACCAGAATGTAAATTATATTTCAATCTTCTTTCAGCTGTTTCCTCTTCAGCAGTGATGTGCGGATCGATACTGAAATATCGATACTTCTGATACAGAACTTTATGTTCTAGAATCGATACTAAAAATCAAAACATCGATACTTTGATAATTTAGTTATTTCACATAATGAATATCATTAACAGGAAAATAGTGTAAAATAACTAAACTATTCAAATCTTGTCTTAATCATATGTGGTTGGAGGGAACTATTTTTTCTTCCGCTTGGATATTGCATCAGCACAGTGGCCTGTGCTCAGTCAGTCATTCAGTCTGTAGATGTATGGCAGGTCATTTTAACATAAAATCTGCTTCTTCTGACTGTAATTACATTCTAGATGAAGGATTCCAAAACTTTTTCATGCCATGGCCCCCCAAACAGCATTAGCTCTGGCCGAGGACCTTCTTGCAAACCAACAAACAATGCTACAAAATAACAACGTAATAACATTTAGAATGTTTTTTTCTCTCTCTTTTATTCACTATTCAAAAATTATTATATTTCTTTAAAATTATAATTTTAAATTGTGTGAGACACATATAGGGTTAGGGTTAGAAAGACTTTTAGATTAATAAATAAATGATTATGTCATGTTGTAAATATATAAAGCAGCTATTTGAAAAACGCTACTTTTTAAGATTTACCAAACACATTATGTGTCTAATCACAAAGTATCAGTATCACTGGTACCAGCCAAACTTTACTTGGTATCAGTATTGGAAAGAAAATTGGCAGCATCGAACATCACTACTCTTGAGGGGCAGCCACAGAGAGTCATCACTGTCCTCACTCCATCTACCTCCACGTCCTCTCTAACTGTGTCCATACGTCTCCTGTTTGTCTTTCTCCTGGCAGCTGCATCTCTAACATCCTTCTGCCAGTAGACCCGCTGTCCCTGCTCTGGACATGTCCAAACCATCAACCTCTGCTGGGCCTCTGATGATCTCATTCCTAATTTTATCCATCCTTTTTCAACATCTTCAGCTCTGGCACTTCCAGTTGTCTCCTGTCTTCAAGCCATACAACCAAGCTGCTCTCACTTATAAAGCTTTGCTTTGAATTTTACTTTGCTCTTTTGTGACAAATCACTCCTAAAACGTTTCTCCATCCCTTCCACCCWGCCTCTTTACCTCATTTCCCTGGACAGTGGACCCTAATGCTGCGTTCACACCGAACGCCATATCAGCTTCAAAATCGCATCCAACGCTTCAAGTTGGTCGCTTGTGCACTTTGAGGTCAGACGCAGGACAGCTCTTGAAGCGCTGCACGGCAACAGCCTCCCCGCCCCTCCCTCCTCTGTCGGGCTCTGTTTAATGTCGGACGAGGAAGTGGCTTTGCTTTATTTACAGAGAGCAAGAGCATGTCACGTTCATCAGATAATTAATTCATAATTAATTCACCAGATAATTCAGAGAAGAGGCTCATAGCTCGCTTTCAGGACTATTTTTGTCCCGAGTCCAGTCTGATGAGCCGCTGCCACGCATTGGTGCAGATATCTCCTGTCAGGACACCGACTGCAGGCACTCGATTTCAGCTAAAAGCTCCTCTCCATCTGTTTCAGGTTAGTGGACATCATTCAGTAAACTGTCCTGTCGGGAAATATGTCGCTACGTCACACAGTGGAGTCTCTCTGATTGGTTGACGCGGCGCGTCGAGCTGCAAAAGTTCAGATTTTCTAACTTCAGCGATTTGAGCATCAAGCACGTCGAACGCTCAGATCGTTCAAACCGCGCTGCTCTAATCGCGCTTGAGGCGCCGCAGAACTTCCCGACACTGATTGAAGTGGTCCACCATAGACTTTGTATGTAAACCTGCTGCTCCTGATGCTGAAATCGCGTTTGGTGTGAACGCACCATAAGTGCTTTGAGTCCGGCACCTTTAGTGACCTCTGCTCCTTGCAGCCTCACTGTCCTCGCTCTCATTGACACATATCCCTTTTCTTGAAATAAACACAGAAAAGGCTAGTCGTACTTTTAGTTTTCTTTGCCACAACACCATTTTTGATGGTCACAAAGCTAAAATAAATAAATAAAAATCAGCTCGTTTGTGTTACAACCATCACGTGTTGGGTTTCTACAGTCACCGCAGACCTGGTCAGCTTCAGCMGTTCCTCTTACCCTGAAAGAATTTTTGACTTAAGATAACAACAAACTACTTAATTATCCTTTTTTTTGCTCCTGTCCCACCTTGAAGTAGCCCCCCTCGTACAGGGTATTCGGGGGCCCGAAGATGGCCACTTCCCAGTTGTAGAGGTCGGACTCTTCGACCAGGGTGATGCGGAAGCCCTCCACCGGCTGCTCCTGCAGAGACTTCAGCTCCATCATCAGGGCCTTCTGGGAACTGGGGGTCGCCTGGTGGGCCATGGTATCTCCTCTTGTGACACCAGGGGCCACGGATCAGTGGAACTGAACACAGGGAACACAGAAATCTCACGACTTTCATGTTACGGTCTGGGCTGCACAGTCCAGAATGGGTTTATTTTTTCTCACCCATGATTTAATAATCACAAACTGACTGAACAACAAACATTTTTAGCTTCATGAGTAGAAAGCTACAATTTTTTTTCAACCCAAACAGCCTAAAAGGGCCTGCCAAAGCTACGTTTAGTTTGGAGGCCCAAAACAGAGAAGGGGGTGGGGGAAGCAAAGTTAATAAAAAGTGTTTACCTCTTTTTTCCTTGCACTGAAATATGTATTGGTTTCGTTAGAGCTGAAAGGGTAAACTCATTGGCTGTCCATGCTAGCCTTGTGTTAAACAACAGCAACAGGAGCAGAGGGTTTCCTCCTCAAGTCTACGGCTGCTGCTCCTCGTGTCTCCAGGATTCTTTGTGTGCCAGTGTTGACAGCTGACATGGAGCAAGTCTCAGTGTTAAGTCACCGTCTCCAGTGGCTCACTGTCGGGCTCAGACGAGGAGGTTCGGTGCCCCTGCCATCTCCTCGAGCTACCGGTTGGGTTCAGACAGGCGCTCAGCTGGTCACCGCTTGTTTATGTTTGTTTATGTGCTCCCCCCAGCAGTCTCAACTTCTCCACACGTCAGCTAAACCCCCCACCGACCGAGGCAACTTGGTTATAAAAAAAATACACAAAAAGCAGGTTTTCTGTTTTCAGCAGCGGCGTAAAACAATGACAAKGTCGAGCCTACGGTCCTTAAAAAACAGCACGGTGAGTGAGAGATTTACACTCGAGCAGTACAGTAGATTTAATCGATTTTTATTTTCCTACCATCAATGCTTCCGGCTATCATTGCGCGTGTCTGCGGAACGTAAAGCACGTACACGGCTCGTAACGTGACGTGCGCGCTCCCGACACTAAAGTCTTTTTTTTTCCTTTTGCTATATTTTAAATGATTTGTGTTATTTGCAGCTTCTTTTGTATAATTCAGTAATACTGGCTTTAATTTCTCTTTATTTTTTCTAAGACAATTTCTTTATAATATAAAAGCTTTTATATTATGACAAAATCGTCTTGGAAAAAGATAATGGGAAATTATAGCAATTTTTTGTTGCTGGTTATGGAACACTGGACCAGCTCTACTCCCTCAGCAGGGTCCTGGAGGGTGCATAGGAGTTAGCTCAGTCTACATGTGTGTTGTGGACTTAGAGAAGTTCTTCTGTGTCCCTCCGGGAATCCGTACTCTGGGAGTATGGGGTACCTTTGATTCAGACTGTCCCTGTACAACCGGTGCTGGTCCACATTGTGTTTGTTTCCAGTRAGAGTTGGACTCCATCAATATTTGTAGACAGAATTTCTAGACCCAGCCCACGGGATCCGTTTTGGTGGCCTTAGGATGATTACACATGGTATGGTCATATTGGCTTCATCAGATTGTGATCTTCAGCTCTCACTGGAGCGGGTTGCAGCCAAGTGCCTCCAAATCCAAAACCATGGCCTTTCAGCCAGAAAAGGGTGGAGTGCCTCTTTCAGGTTGGGGAAGAGGTCCTACCCCGAGTGGAGGAGTTTAGGTATCTTGTACAGCTGTACAAAAAAAGGTACAAAGATGGTCTTCAGGTCAAAATGACCCGTGAGAAAAGAGTTGAAATCAAGGTCACAAAGTTATTTACAAACCACAGAATGTTACAAAGTTTTAGTTGTGTCTCAGATCAATCAGTAGCATGAGTAAACAAGACAAATCAGGTGGTGTACTCGCAGACTTCAAAAGACCACCTGTTATTACCAAAGGTTATAAAGGTGCTGCATAACAGGACCCCGAATTATGTCTGTGCTGAAGCCACGAGTGTGCATTATAACACTGAAGAGGCTTTAGAGGTGATTTTCTCAYATGTCCAGCAAGACAACTCTGATTCAGAAGAGGAAGTAGAGGATGTATCCGAAGAAGAAGATGGAGAGGAACACAACCCAGAGCATGATGAATCATCTTCAGAAGAAGAAGAAAACCCTAAAGCTGAAAGTGAGACTTTTCTTTCAAAAAATGGCGAAATAACATGGTCCTCAGCACTATATGACCAACACGGCAGGCATGCAGAACAAAACGTTGTAAAGATGACCCCAGGACCCACAAGGCATGCCGTTTCTCATGCCCATGATATTGTTTCTACATTCTACCTGTTCATCACACCAGCAATAGAAAAAACAATCCTGGAGATGGCAAATCTGGAGGGTTTTCGCAAATATGGAGACAGCTGGAAAAAGACGGATGAGATTGACCTGCAGGCCTACTTAGGACTGCTAATCTTAGCAGGTGTATACAGGTCCCAAGGTGAAGCTGCAGTTAGTCTATGGGATGCAGAGAGTGGAAGGTAAGAATGTGCGATATGGCAAAAAAATTTATATCACGATAAACATTATGATGGGTGGTGGTAATGATATATATCATAATATAAAACTTATAATAGAAAATAAATAAATCACACATTAATTGAGTGGAATAAATATGTATAGGTAAAAAAAAATTAGACCTTAAAATCTCCTTTTTAAGGGACACTTTTAAGTCTCCCATTAAAATCTAAATTTAAGGCAGATCTACCTGGTTAAATCAAATATCACACACACTAGAGTTGGGCGATATTGGCAAAAAAATTAATCACGATTAATTGTGGTGTTTAGCCGATAACGATTAATTTGACGATTAATCCCCTGGAGTCCCTGGACACACTTATTTCATAGTCACATGAACAATTTAGTGGGAAATATTTTCTCTTATAAAAATCTGTTTCAAATTGTCATAATTACAGTCTTCAGACTATACATCAAATTTTAAATTGTGTTGATAGATAAATAACTTACAGACTTATTTTTTAAAATGTTTGTAATACTTGAAGCAGAGAGGAGCACTGAGCAGACCGAGTGGGGAAATATCCAGTCAATCTGCCTGGTGGCATTAACCGTATTAATTGTCAAGTGCCAAAAAAAATCAATTAATGTTTTTCTGACGATTAAATGCACACGATACGATTATGCCCAACCCCAACACACACACACACACGCACACACGCACACGCGCACACACGCACACACGCACACACACACACACACACACACACACACACA